TAAGGTGACACAGCCACACATATACCCCAAGGTCGTGATCCTTCAGGTGTTGCCCGGAAGCCAGTGGCCTGGCGTGGTGAGGCCTGTTTATGCGAGCCAAGGGGCCACGGTACCCTGGAGGACCGCGCAGCCTCAGGATGGCCTGAGCCAGACGACTTGGGAGAAGGAGACAGCGTGGGATGCAGCGCTTTGTCTGCTGGTCCTAATCATACAACTACTTTCCGGCCCTTTCCATTGTGCTTGAGTGGAGATTCTGCCTCTCACCCCACTGCGCTCAGGGTCATGAAGTCGTGTTTTTCTGCATCTGGGAAGTGGCCCCAAGGAAAGCTCTTCACACAGGTCCAGGCAGTGCTTCTCTAGCACAGTGTGGTTGTCACCAAAAGCTCAGGTTCTACAGAAAAGCTTTTGAAGTACATTATTCAACTTACAATTGATTAAAGTGTAGTGAGATAAAATCCTTCCTGCCGTCAGGGTCTGGGGAAAGCGGCAGCCACATGCATATGGGATATGCTCAGAAGGACAGGTGCAGAGGTGAGGAGCATGGGTGCTGAGCTGCACATAGGTCGGGTCCCTGGGGAGCAGGGCCTGCTGAGCTGCAGGGCCGTGCACACTGCTTGGCAGACCTGGGCAGATGCGGGCAGAGCCCTGCACATTTGTGCACGTTGATGTATTGAAACGTCTTTGCAATAATTGGAAATGTACGGGAATGTGTATCCGGGGTTGTGCTGTGAAAGCAAGCGTTGGTTTCCTGGGCATAAGGTAAAAGTGCATGAAGGGAACTGGGCTCTTGGACCAGGTATCTTTGGATCATAAGGCATTATGATCCCTTGGTGGGCAGTGATGTGGGACTCGGCCTGGCCCTCGCCAGCCGCCTCGGCCGTGGTCAGCTGGTCATCAGGGGCTCCTGGTCAGGACGTCAAGCCCAGAGCCTGAAGCCAGGGCTGTGCAGGCCCAGTGTCTGTATCTGGGCCCGTGGGCTGGTCGGGCCTGGTGGCCCCCTCTCTGCAGGTCCACAGCGGCCCCACAAGTACTGGGGCTGTCCCCTGGGCCCCAGAGTGGCCTCCCCAGCGGCACCAGGCCTTGGACACTTCCTCAGAGGCTGTGATGGCTGCGTCGGCCCTTCTGGCAGCCCCTCAGCGGCCCTGTCCTCCCCAGCCCTGGCTGCAGAACCTGGGCCTCAGCTGAGCCAGGCTGCTGGAAATGAACCTGCTGTATGCTTTAAGGTGCGGCACAGCTGTGTTTTTCGTGTGTCTTTGCAATCTTCCCCTTTGCTTCTCCCACGTTTTATTGGTGACATGGGTCATACGGACTGAGGGTTTCATTTGGCAGATTTGTGCCTGCACGTAACAGGCTGATTATGTTCTCCCTTCCCCTTCCCCTCCTTTCACAGTTTTGGGGTGTCAGTGCATATGTTTTGCTCATATCTGTCCTCGTTTCCCACTGCTACCTGTCTTCCCTCTGGTGGGTCCCTTCTGCGTCCTTGCCCTCTGTCTCGATCCCACATATGAGGCCGGGTGTGCGCCCTTGTCTTTCCGAGCATCTCCACATCTGTTTGTGTTTTCGCACGCAGCACTTTGCTCTTTCTCGTGGCCGAGTGGTACTTGGCTGTGACCCAGCACCCTTCCTCCATCTGTCCCCGGGGAATAGCTGTGCGCGACTCCCCGTCCTTCCCGTTGTGAACGGCAGCGTGGCCTTCAGCGCCACATGCCGCGTCTCTGTAACGTCCTGTACGAAGGGGACCCTGAGGGCCTTGTGCCGGGCACCCCGGCGGTCCGGGGGAGACGGGCTCGGCGCGCAGCTTCCGTGGGGAGCGGGGAGGCAGATGAGAAGGGGCTGCACCGCTGCTGGGCCTGTGCCTCGGCCACTTCATCACGCAGTCGTTTCCGCAGCAGAAGGGAGCAAGAGAGGGAAGGGGTGAGGGGAGAAACAGGGAAGGAAAGGCAAGAAAGGACGGAGAAGCGGGCAGGGGAGCAGGAGGGAGAGATGCGAAGAGGGAGAGAAGGAGAGGAGCGATCAAGGGGAGAACACAGCTCTGGCCGCCCTTGCAGACGCAGTCCGGCTCTTCTGAGGGTCACCCTCCCTTCCTCTCCTCTCCTCTCCTCGTCTCTCCTTCCCTCCTGCTCCATCTCCCTCCAGCCATTCCCTCCTCCCTTTCTTCCCTCCTTTCTCCCTTCTCTGCTCCACCCCCTCCCAGCCTCTCTTTGGTACAAAGCACTTAGACTCCACCCCCACAGAGAAGCCCCGCCCCGATTCCGACGGGGTCCCCAGAGCGCGGAGAAGGCCCTTCGTGGACACCGCCCGGCCACGCGTCGTGACGGGCAGCAGCCTGCTGACGGCTGTTGATCCTTTTCGTCTTAGACCTGGGATGGTGCTCTTTTCCATTTTTAGGAGTAAAGTAACCTGGCTTTTATTGGGAGAGGAATCAGGAACTAAAACACATCACGAGTGCCCTTCACATCTCAGGCAAAATATCAAAGTCTGGCAGTGGTGGGCAGGATTTGGTTATCTGAAATGTTTTGCCTGGCTGTTATTGTACTTCATAAATAAAGTTAGTTGCCAACACATAAACATGAGACATTGTGCAGAAGTCCATATTCTCCATAGGAAATGAGAAGAAGGGTCGAGGGCGGTGTGGTTCCCTTCTCTCCCTGGCTTTGCTGCTGGCTTGGGGCGGCTTTTCCAGCTGCCCTGCAGGTGCAGGCTCCGGCTCAGGAGCTTCCGTCAGGTCTCTGGACTGCCCTCGCCCACTGTCCCCTGGATCCCTTGCCTCCCACTCCTCTGCCAGCTGTGGTCCTGGCCTCCACGCGTAGAGGCTGCAGGGCACCTGTCCGGACCCATCCCACCAGCTCCCCAGCTTTGGAGACTGACCCTGCTGTCCAGTCCGCGTCCGCCTGGGCCATGGCCCGGCCTGCGACTGGGGTGTGTTCCGGATGAGAGCTGCCATTAGATGTGTGTGGGGGGCTGAGCACTGAGGCGTAATTCCATCCTTGGAAAGGAACATGCTCGATATTTGGAAAATCAGCTTTCGGCTAAAGAAGACACTCCTTGAGGGTGGCTCTGGGTTTTTTGAGAAGAAGGAATGGTAGATAAAGCTTTTGCTTATTAAGTCCCTGAAAACATAACATTAGAACTCATCTTATTTTGAAATATAAGATCAACAAAAGTGAGTTATGCATTTACTATTTCTGTCCATGAAGTCTGACTGTGCTCTGGGAACCGTTTATGCTTTCTTTACATTTTCCTTCAGAAGGGATTTACAGCAGCAGATCCCGCCCAGTGGAAGCCGTGTTAGGTTACCTTATCTGAGACCACTGGCCTGGTTTAGGGTTCAGACTCTGTACTTCAGAGTTTAATTAATACAGTCATTGGAAAATGTTTGCCTCTAGGGCAGGAGATTAACATTTATTTACCTTGAACCTGGTGAAGGAAAGGTGACTCGCAAACTGAGTTACAACGAAAGGATTAAGTTGGAAACGGAAGAGGGCTAAAATAAACTTTTGACTTATTTGGGAAGTCAGAGGAAAGTTAAGTAAAAATTCAGTTCTTTAAAAAGGCAGGAACAGATACATATCTAAAGACAATGTGATGATAATGTATTTGTGTTCACCTGTTTCCTCAGTGGGAATTTTGAAATATCTAGACCTTTCAGACATGTAGATGATCCCGCACAGGTACTGTAAGATCACACTTTACATAAGCTGTTAATTTAGACATACCATTTCCCACCCTTATAGCTCTTTGATTGTTTTGATTCAGTTGTTTGCATGCAGTCAGTTGCTATGCTGTCCTTGCTGACACTCCCATTGGAAGCCTCACTTCTGGTTTCCCAGCACACCTCACGTCTGCCTCAACTTTGAGGCTTGGTGATTTTCTGATTCCAGTGATTGTTACTGTGTCCTGAATGCACAACCCTAAGTGGCATTGCATACTTGAGGGACAGTTATTTTCCAAAAAGTTTGTCCTGCAGGTGATTACCTTTGGTCTCCAGCAAGGAACCTCTGGAAATAGTGCTTCTTAAAGTTATCTTGAGTAGGTCTTATGCAACATTTGCAGTTGTGAGAAATAACTACTGGGTCTCCAGGAAATTTGCTTTCCAAATCAGACTTTGCTGGATTACACCTGTGAGCACTTGAAGCTGGTAATGACATAGTTGTTCAACAGAACTTGCTCTCTCCAGGTGTGAGAGCTCCAAGGAGGACTTGACCAGGACCTGATTCCCCTTTCCCTGAAAAGTAACCTCTGCGCAGAAGCAGACTGTCTTACGTCTGTACATCTCTAGCGCTCATGTGGTGTTTCATGTCTCTTTTAAGATGATTCCTGAAATTTGTAGTAAAGTGCAGAAAATGCAGTAAGTAGATAACTTGTTCACTGCTTGTTCCAGGTGACATTATCAGTCTTGGGACATTTTTGTCTCGTGCATTTTGTCACTGTCGTGAAACACCAAGTGTGCCACGTGTGCGTGGTGTGGCGGTGTTTTCTGTGCACGTTTCCATGCTTGCATACTAGTGTTTGTGTGAGGTCTGCCTTAGAGGTTGCAGTTAATCCAGCGAGAGATGTTGTCCTTGCTGATGACCTGGGCTGCAGCATGGTCACGCCGGCGAGCTGGGGGTGCTGGCTGTCATCCCCAGGGATGATGAGGGAGGGCTGGGGCTGGGCTGTGTGATTGAGCCTGACATGGCCAGTGGCTCCTGCCTGGGCCACTCGACAACACTTTTGAAACTTTAGGAGAGTTGAGGTGGCAAATTTTCTGCCTTTTGTATTTGTTTGTTTCGTTTGCATTACTCATGTGCTGGGCAAGTGCTCTGCCACTGAGCTACATCCTGGCCCTCCTTCCCCGTCTTTAGGAAAGGGAACTCACTTGTACTCTAGGGCTTCCAGCATTCCATGAAAAGAAATTGGTGTCGTTACTGTTCCAAAATATGATAGTCAAGTGCTCCACATTTGAACAGCAGGTTAAATAATGAAAATAATGAGGACTTGTCATTTTTATCTCTTAACAGTGGAAAGAGTAGAACGAGAAAACCTTTCAGACTATTGTGTTCTGGGCCAGCGTCCCCTGCACTTACCAAACATGAACCAGCTGGCGTCCCTGGGGAAGTCCGGCGAGCAGTCCCCACACAGCCAGCTGCACCACAGCGCGCCCATCCGCAGCCAGGTGCCTGCGCTGCAGCCCATCATGAGCCCGGGGCTGCTGTCACCCCAGCTCAGCCCACAGCTCGTGCGGCAGCAGATTGCCATGGCCCATCTGATCAACCAGCAGATTGCCGTCAGCCGCCTGCTGGCCCACCAGCACCCCCAGGCCATCAACCAGCAGTTCCTGAACCACCCGCCCATCCCCAGGGCCGTGAAGCCGGAACCCAGCAACTCCTCTGTGGAAGTCTCGCCCGACATCTACCAGCAGGTCCGGGACGAGCTCAAGCGGGCCAGCGTGTCCCAGGCCGTGTTTGCCCGCGTGGCCTTCAACCGCACACAGGTACCTTGATGGCGGTGGTGGGGTGTGACCTGGGGAGGGCTGTGATGTGCCTGAGGCCCTGTAACCTCATTTTCAAGTTCCATGATCTCCATAGATTAGTGACACTCTGGTCACAGGTGTTGTCCTCAGCCCATGCATGAACTGAACTAATTCCTGAATGTGAGGAACATCTGTGAACCTAAAGGCGAATCCAGACCCAAAATATTGCCAGAAGTTAGGGTCAGGGTGCAGGCTTTACTTTTCTCTGGCTATAAGCTTGATCTTGAATTTTACCTTTATCATTCATTGGCTTAAGAAAAAAAAACTGGCTGTAAATTACTTATGTGTGCCCAAACAACCTGTTGTTTATCTTGTTTTGAACTTGAGAAAAAGAGTGTCACGATGTCGTAATCCCTGTAGTTTTGATAAACCCGTTAGAACGTGCAGCTTTGGTGTGAGATATCAGTAATGGGTGGAGAGCTCATGTTCTTGTGCCCACGGTGACTCGCGCACTCCTGCATGTCCTGTCTGGCTCTGGCTGGTTGTGTGACCGGTTCTTTTCCATCGAGTTCTAGGGTTTCTCTGAAACCTGAGTACATCAGCGTCACCCACAGGGGCTGTTAAAACACAGGTTTCTGGCTGGGTGTGGTGGCGCAGCCCTGTAATCCCAGCACTGAGGAGGTTGAGGCAGGAGGGTCCCTGTGAATTCAAGGACAGCCTGGACGGCATACACAGCGAGACCCTGTCTCAAAAACAAAAAGACAGGGGTGTCTGGAAGCCACCCAGCAGCATTTGACTTAGTCTGGGGAGGGTCCAGGAAGTCCTATTTCTGAGGAGGTCTGAGGTGATTCTGATGTTGCCAGCTCGGGACCACACTGAAAAGGACCCATCCAGGTCCGGCGTGAGAACAGAGAGGGAAGCGGCTGAGCTCAGGACCCAGCTCTGGGGGAACAAGGGAGCCGGATGGGGTGAGGCCCTGTGGCGAGGAGCGTGGGAATGGGGCAGTGGGCTCCTGCAGGGAGGAGAGCGTGGCCAGACAGGCGCAGGCCCTCGAGAGGAAGCCTCGCTCCGTGTGATGTGAAGATGCGAAGTCGCAGGATGAGAGCAGCTGGGGGAGAGCGTGCGGCCCGTCAGCCTGCGTTAGATTTGCAGGTGAGGCTGCAGAGGTGTCTCCGCGGAGGGGCAGCGGGGCTGGCAGGGGCGGTCGGGTTGGACAGCAGCGAGGCTGTGGCACAGGTCCTGAGCCGGGCCGAGAACTTCCAGCCTTGGCCACGGGTCACTGCCCTGTCCTGCGAGGCATGTGCTGCAGCCCAGGGAGCGGAATTCCACCTTGGGAGACTGCTGTGAGCCTCTGTGATGGTCGGGCCGGGGTCCCGCCAGGAGCACTTCCCTGGCTCTAGGCTGTGTAATTTACAGTCGGTCAGTCAGCCTGTACCTCTTGGAAGTGAGTTCAGAAGGCCAGACAGACCCACGCGGCCCCCACAGCATTCCCGCTGCTCTGTGTGGTGCAGCACCGAGGCAGCTGTGGGCATCCGGCATCCTCCGGCTGGGATGGTGCCTGGGCTGGAGCTCGCTCACACCTCTGAGGCTGTGCAGACAGCTCCTCTGGCCAGGGGCGATGGATAGCGTGGCCATGCTGCTGTGGACTGCAGGTGCACAGCCGGGGCACCTTTTCCCCATGCATGAAGCGGGACAGAGGCCAGACTGTCCTGCAAGAGGGTGCCCGCCACGCTGCCACTCCTGGAGGTCTGTCTTCGCACCGCCCTTTTTGTCTCTTCTTGGGGATTAATGCTTTTTCTTTGGCACTGCCATCTTTGAAGTGCCAAGTTATAAAAGACCTAATTGAGGCATGGGACCCATTTTACTATTTTCCCCTGGCCATTAAATGTGTAAGATGGCTACACCCATCAAGAAACATTCACTTTCAATCAGCATGAGCTGCGTTCATGGGCCAGCCTTGAGGATATCGAGTGGAAACTGCATAGGAATGTATGAGTATTTCCTTTTAAAATTCTGCTTTTAATTTAGGAAAGCTTTTCATCCCTCTGGGATTGTAACCTGTTGTGTATAAAGCCTGGCCTAATCAAGGTAGATGGTATTGACAGAGTGACATGGTTTGAACTTGAGCAGGAGGTCAGTGGGCAGATTGGTTCTGCTGCTCAGTGAGATCAGGTGGCTGCTTTTACCAGCAGGATTGCGAAGCGGAAAACCCAGTTCTCTGGGCCCAGGAAGCCGACCAACAGCCTTCCAAGTGCTGAGGCTGTTTTTGAGTGGAGCCAGGCATTTAGGGGGTGACATCGTAATTTGCCAGCCTTAATAAAAAATAAAATTAATATTACGGATTAATACTACATATACATAAGTGAATTGTTCATCTGTGGAGGGAAGAGAGCGTTAAATGTTTTTTTGCTCAAACAAGGTTTTTGCTGGATCCCCAATACCAGCCTGAGTCTCGTGCTAGCTCCTTTACTGTGGACATCCTTAGATGCTCTATTTTTCAGAAATAGTTCATGATCTCTAGACCTCGTTATCATCACAAAACTCATGATCACCAAACGCATTTTGCTACATGTCGCTGTGTGATTTATTTCCTGGATTGTGCTTGCTGATTTTACTTAAAAGGAATCTGGCTAGGATTGCAAGCTAAAATCATATGGAGACACAAGTTCAGCTAGGATTGCAAACAAAAAGGCCATCTTCCACTTTTTCACGTGTAAGACTTCCAGATGAAAACTCCAATTCGTGATAAATATTTGAAAAAGCTAGCTCTCCACACAGAGGCCTTCAGTGCCCCGCAGCAGGCCTGTTACACTTGCCATTCAGTGATTTCCCAGAGCCGGGCTTCCCAGAGCTTGTTTTTGATGGGTGTGAGTTTTCACAGTGGTGTCTTTTAAAAACAGGAGGTGCATTAGTTTGATAAAAGTGATGCCTTACTGTGCTTCATGGTAAGCTCCCAACTTCTGCTGGAGTCATTTTTTTCCTTAGGTTTCTGTTTTGTTAACAAAAATGTGAGCTGTGCAAACGAAGAATAGAAGCAGGAGCCACATCCACGGGCCACGTGGCAGGGCAGAGGCACCGTCTGTCCTGCTCCCCCAGAGAAGGAGTCAGTGGCCCTGCTTTTCCTACCAGGGAGGTGAGGGAGGAGCGAAGGTGAGGTGTTTGTTCCTGGTCTCTGCAGGTCTGGACCCCGCCCTAGCTCTCCCTGGAGGACACCCAGGCTGTGGAGCCTGCTCTGCTCTCGCCGCCAGGCTGCCGGGGCTGATGCTGAGGGCTCCCTGGTCCCTGTCCTAAGGGGCTTCTGTGCCAGGGCCAGAGCTGGGGCTGCGTGTGGGTCGTTCCCGGCCTCGCTCATCGGCAGGCCCTTGCAGGACCGACGTCTCAGGACCAGTTGTTAGTCCACAGTTGAGGTCCGGGCTGCTGCCAGCCCCCTTGACATTCACTTGTGCCACACAGGGAGTTTTGTCCATTTTTACAAAGCAAAAGCCTCTTGCTTTTGTGGAGCTGATATAAATGTTGTGCTGTGCCGTTTTGTTTTGAGGGCATTGCTGTTGTTTCTGTGAACCTGATATAAATGTTGTGCTCTGCCGTTTCGTTTTGAGGGCATTGCTGTTGTTTCTGTGAACCTGATATAAATGTTGTGCTCTGCTGTTTCGTTTTGAGGGCATTGCTGTTGTTTCTGTGAACCTGATATAAATGTTGTGCTCTGCCGTTTCGTTTTGAGGGCATTGCTGTTGTTTCTGTGAACCTGCCCCTCCAGTGTTGGTGGTTCTGTTACTGTCCGGATGCACCTGTGGGTGTGGATGGCGAGGTACACGAAGACGGAGAAGAGGGAGAGTGAGTGCCTGTGGAGGAGCCAGAAGCAGGCCCGGGGTGTGAGGACGGGCCTGACCGCCTGCAGAGCTGCCTCAGTGGAGCCTGCCTGGGAGTCCGTGTGCCGGACAGTGTCTGCGGAGGGAGCATTTCGGGAAGCGGGGGACCAGTGCTCCGTCAGGTAGCGGCTTTCCCTTCACATCTGTCACCCCCATCTGTGTCCTGCGTGTGTCCTGACGCTGACTCGCTCCCACTTCCGGGCCTGTGGACGTGGTGAAGTTGCTTGCCTGCTTTCTGTGTTTTTATAGCTTTGTATTTTCAGAGTGGTTGGGAAGCCTGATCTTTACACTTTTGCTTCTTGCTACGATGTGGACTTAGAAAAATTAATCAGAGCCTTCTGCCATTGTGCAAAGTCTGGTGACAGAATTTTAAGACTTAGTATTACTGATGTCCAGCGATCTGTATAAGCAGTGATTCACAGCATATGTATGGTGAGTGTTCCTTAGTAGGTAAACTATCTCTAATTGATTTAAAACCCCAGGGGCCTACATCTTCACTCAATGACTTCACTTCTCCTCAGAGCCCTCCCTTCGGTCTGAGCGAACCTGCTAGGTGAAGTAGAGGGATCTGTGATCCACACGAGGCTGAGCCATGAGCGGCCTGCTCGAGGGGGCCTACGTGTGCCAGGAAGGGGGCGGGGTGCCGCCTGTCCCGCTCTCCCTGGATGCAGCTCGGGAAGTGTCCTTGTGCGGGAATCCTCTGTAGAAAGTTCTGTGGCCAGAAACGAGACCCAGGCACAGTTTGCTAATGTGGTCTCCCTGCCTCCCCAGCAGGGCTTGCAGCACCTCGTGTCAGGGTGCCCTCGCATCTCAGGCTGTTCTGCCGGGCCAGTTCTCTGAAAGAAGCACAGAGGCATTTTGCAGGACATGCTGTGCTCTGTAGACCGTGGGTCTCACCCCTCACTCAGCCAGTGAGGGGTCAGTTACCCGCCTCTGAGCCTGTCATCCAAGACCTCGCTGGAGAAAGCGGGTGCCACTCTCAACAAGACAGCACAGGACTCAGAAAACCCTTCTGGACTTACTGGGTTGTTCTGTTCTCATTTGACTACTTTTTACTTTTTATGAGACGTTGCAAAAAAAAAAGCTGCAGTTTACTCGTCAAAGGCACGTCATTTGAAGAAACTTAAGACCTGGCTCATAAATACAATTTAT